GTCTTGATGCCAACAGATGGCAGAACCTATTTAGAGTAAGCAGGTTTGGGGGTTCAGGGGTGCCCCTCTCTCCCTGCTCTGTAACAGCTGTTATAGGGCAAAAACCTACTTCCATTGTGAACTCTGACAAATCACAATCTCAGAATCCTCATCTTTGCCTTCACTGAGTTGAGAAAATATAATCAGTGTTAAAGTAGAGGCTTTATAAAACATAAAATATCATACATGTATTATTTTAACAGCATTGTAAGTGAGTATGAAAATCCCACCTATAAACAGAAACTTCACCTTGCTATCAGGTACTGTACCGTGTACTTAACAGGTATTTAAAAAATGTTAGCAGACTATGTAACAGTAACCTGACTCTGTATGCACAGGAAGCATAGCAAAAGCATATGCAACTTCCTAAAAGGATTTAGAACTGAAATAGTCAAACTTTATCCGTCTCACAAATGTGATCAATGACAAAATAATGGGGGTGGAGAATGGATGCCAGTTTCAACTTCCCTCTTTAAGTGTAAACTTCTTTTAGATGCTTTAGAAACAAGGAGAAGATATTTACAGAAAAAGCAGTGAAATGTAGAACAGCAACTTTGTAAAACTGTGTCCAACAACTGTCTGCCATAAAAGAAGCTCTCCTTAAATTCTCAAGTTGAAACCTGCAAAATGTAAATCAGGCCTTTGTGAGACAAACTAAAATAGAGTTTCCCCTCAGGGTGCACAAATACCACAGTGAAGTCACCCAAGTGGCTATTCCCTCACAGATAAGCGACCTTTCAAAGATTTTCCTGGGAGGGAAATGTTGTTTGTTTCATGGTTATAGACTCTTAAGATCACGTAATACAATAAAATGCAACAGTCCCATATCCCAATTATTCCTATTTAGTCATACAAAAAGAGCATTTCAATATAACTTTAAAATCATCATTTAATCACAATGCGTTCTTTAAAACTAATGAGGAGAGTGGGAACTAATCTGGTCTTGGAGAAAATTTTAGGAGTTCCATAAGCTTCGATTAAGTTGATTTTATAAGCAATCTCTTCTTTAATTGCTTTTAGAAAGAAGGAAGCTACCTTCCTCCAAGATCAAGACCAATTTTGCCAAGTTTCCATTCACAATATTTTGTTAAAGGACTGCTTAATAAAAGGCAAACCATCAGCCACAATCTTATTTATCAACTATCCAATTGATACCGATAAAATTTATGGGTTACTATTAGAAAACATAACAGTTAAACTCTTAAAGAGCAAGTGAGATGTTAGAAGATCCAAACGCTGAAGGCAACATGAAAAACATTTCTTTTTTGAAAAAGATGCCTGGCTTCACTTTCTTTTCAGGACAAGCAGAAAATGCTATTCGAATCCCACAGCCAGTTTCACTCATTCTATCTGAGGACACACAGCACTCTCAACTCCTAGTGCTTTCAGAGTAAATGGTGATTTTCCTGGCTTCTATACAAATGATAATGGTACAATGACCTATTTCACACTTGTCAAATGCTAACGCATGTTTCACCCATCAAAAGAGAGTAAAAATAATTATGTACTTTTATACATACACACACTCACACACACACACTTGCTGTGAGAGGTGGTCTCTAGTGTATCACAGCAATTGGCAGATACTCACTCTTTCAATTCGCCATGTCTTATTTTCGGTTTACAATAACTATGACTTCTGATCAGTACCAAAACATATGTTTCTTATGACTACATAGGTGTAGTCAGACTACACCTTGTACTTGGTTTATTTTAATGCTTACTGTGTTTAATACTCAACATCAAAAGAAGGTAAGAAAGTGACGGCTATACCTAGTTTGTTCACGCTGTGCACTTCGTGTCTCACATGCTCGGTAAGGGCAAAGCACAATATGCATCACTTGTTTAAGGGTATGTGAAATCTGAACTGGGTGGGAGATTTAATAGATGCACAAACAGTCATGGCCCTTGAGTTCATGGGAAACAACTAGTTCGTTATAGCCCATGGAGTAACTGGGTTGGGCAGTGAACCATACATAAAGCCCTGTTTGCTACAAATATATCTGTGGCAGTCATGGAGACATAGTCTTGTCACTGGCAAGGTGGTGTAGAGGAGGATAAGGGAGAGAAAAGGGAGAGAGGAGAGACTGAAACATCAACCCAACGTCAAACAAATCTCCCTCTCTTCCCCACGTTCCCCACCACACACGCTTTCCTCCAGAACATCAATTCTTATTCAAGAACAAGTATAACTAAGTTTTTTGAAACTATCTAAAAAGTTTAAAGTAAATGTGTTTTCTAGCTAATCACAATACTGAGATGGAAACTATTTTAAATAACTTTTCTAAGTTTTAAGTCCATAGCTTTACAAATTTCACTGAGCAAGAATATTACCAAAAACTGAATTTTCATCAAAAACAAGTACAAACATGTAAAATTTTAAAGTAAAATGTCACGTTCAAGTCTTAAGTAGGTGAACAATTAAGATTTCTCTTGACGGCCCTCCCTGGTGGCACAGCAGGCTAAAAATTAAGCACTAAAATTAAGCCACTTCCCCATGAGTGCATGAGTTCGATCCTCCGCCTGTCCCGGAGGAGATCCACATGGTGAGGCAGACCTCTCCTGACCCGCCCGCTGCTCCCCTCAGCAGTGTACTTCATCGATCTGCCTGTTCTGCTCCCCACTCTGTCTCTGATGAATCCTCTCACCCTCCTCATCTCTGGGCTGTACCCCAGTTCTGTATGGATAAATAAATAAATCTTAAAAAAAAAATTAAAATTAAAAGATTTCTCTTAACACCTTAATCATCCCAACCCAAAGTTACTGTATCTGTCCCCTATTTGTAGCAGCCTTACTGACTGCTACAGCCCTCACCACAGTGTCTTTGTAATGAAGTAGTAATCACTATGATCTCCCTACCTCTGCAATCACCTGAAATAATCTTTGGCTCCATAGGGCCCACAGTAGAAAATTCAGAAGGCCAAAAGGACTGCCCTATCTTTACCTAAGTGAGATTCTTGTTCAGAAAATTTTAATACTTTCAGGCACTTTAAGACAAGGCAAAGCCTTTGTTTTAAAAACTTTAATATCTGAAAACACATAAAATATAACTTCAGGGGTACTCAGAATTCAACTTATTAAAAAACAAGTCAAGGGACCTCCCTGGTGGCGCAGTGGGTTAAAACATAGCAGTAAGAAGCTAAAGCCACTTCAGCATGAGTTCGATCCCCTCCCCCCAGAGGTGACCTACATGGCACAGCAAACCTCTTCTGACCCACCGGCTGCTCCTCTCAGCAGTGTACTTCGTCAATCTGCCTGTTCTGCTCCCCACTCTGTCTTGGGTGAATCTTCTCACTGCCCCTGCATCTCTGACCTGTACCCCAGTTCTGTATGCACAAATAAATATTTTTTTTTAAAAAAAGTCAAAATGTAAACAAAAATAGCTGGAAATACTTCAGAAGTATTTTGCCAAAGTTTAAAAATAGAACATTTAGGAGAAAATAGCTAAAGAACATCCACACAAGGTTTAAGGAGCCCCTAGGTCTCTCAGAGTCTTTGGAAAGGCACCTGTTCATGATCCGATTAACTCTACGTGCCTTCAATGTCTGAAAAACTGACTTGGTACAGTTTGACCTCTTCCAATCTCTGAGAAACAGGTGCCAAAGAGCTTCACTTTAGAAACTTATTTTCAAAAAGTCTTTTTCCTCATGACTTGTCTGCAAATATTTACTACAACAGTGCTAAATACTGCTCTTCTGAAACTTATTCAACATATTGCCACTAACTCCACCTTTCAATAAGTCATATTCTTTCCCTGGAATCTGGACCCTTTATGGAAAGTTTAGTGTACCAGACAGCAGTAGAAAGAAAACACAAAACCATGACCAGAAGAACCATCTGACTACAAAATGTTCTTTTCAAATATCCCCAAATAATGTTACTAGCCTTATAAAATTATCCTGCTTTGCTAGAAGCGTGACTCAAACTCGCTGTTTTCCCTGTAAGTTCATGACCACCAGATTACCGATAAATCAAGTCTTTCAACACAGTGGGGACTGAAGTGCTACAAAATCAAATCGTCAGTTTCAATACATACCACTCTGCTAAAAACAATAATGAATCACTCTACTTGTTTATGTACTTCAATGATGAAGAAAAACTTACCTAGATCAAACACGATTTTAATAGTTGAGGATAAACATGTGCATCCTCATCCACCACCCAAGCAATGAAATTTTCTATACATCCCTTTCCTGATTTCGAAAAGGTCACCTCTATACAAGTGTCTACACTCGCCCAGAATCAAAGGAAAAGGGAAGATAGCAAGGAGACCATTTTACCCAGAAACAAAACTGTGACCGGCAATTAACAGTAAGTGCAGACACTTCCCCCTGTTTTCTCTGTAGTAGGATTAGCAGTGGAATAGCTCTGCGACCTTTAATTAAGGTTAAACAACTCTGAAGAACAATCACTTTAAAAGTGAATGTCTCTTTTAATTACACACAGGCAATACCGGTAGTAAAGGTATTTGCTTCCCTCAAATTTCTTAAGACCCCCTCCTCTCTAGGTTATTCAACAGAGCAAATAGCAACCACCCTCCACCCTGGGAAGAGGGATATTTAAACAAGGTAGAAGTAAGTGTGCAAGGTGAACCTTCTTGCCTCTGATCGTGAAAACGTTGTGAAGACCCTGCTAGGAGAGAAAAGTGAGGATGGGGGTTTCTGGCCAAAACTGTAAAAAGAGGAACACAAACGCCGACATGGTAAACCACCAAAGAAGAGGGAATCCGGCTAAGTTAGAAAGAATGGGAAAGCAGAGGGATACTGGCACCAAGTAACTTGGCCTCCTGGGTTCGGAGCTAGATCTAGTTCAGAAACTAGAGAAGGGAATGCCTGTGTGGCCATGGCTGGGGCAGGGAGCCAACAGGGGCGATCTGGGCCCCGAAGGCTGGGGCCAGGAGGAAGATGGCACGGGAGCAGGACTGTCGGCGAGCAGGAGGGGACAGGGCTGTCACCGCTTACCCAGGTGCAGCGTGAGGTTGATGGAGTTGGGGTACTGCACCCCGGCCAGCATGGTCTGGCTTTGCCACCAGGTGGTGTCGGCCTGGTTGTTGTAGTCGGTCAAGAAGGCTGCCCCGTGCTGCAGGTGGGGCTGCCCGGCGTCGCACAGGTGACAGGACTTGGTGACCCCGGTCACCCCGGTCTGCACGCAGTACTCCTCGGGCGGAGTCCCGCACGTGTTGGTGGCCACCACGGTCACGTTGAAGGCGGCGTTCACGAACTCAGGCATGCAGCGCTGCGGCCGTCCGCCCTCGTCCGTGC